GTGTCCACATTGACCCGAGACTAAACTGAGAGCAACACCAGTGCAAGGTCACATCCTTCAAGTGTCTTGTTTGTTCTCAATAATTCCTGTCAAGTTTGCATCCTACTACCCAACATGGGCTTGTCTTAGGATAAAACAATTATAGTCTTCCTACTCCCCGCCCCCACATCTTCTACAAAAGTGGTAGCTCTCAATATAAAAGCCACAGGTTTATTTATCAGGTTTGCCTGGCCCAGGACACACAGATCCACGGGATGACCTTGAAACTGTGGTCTGAGTCAACCTTTTGGCTCTCAGTCCCAAGGAGGGCTCATCGTACAGGCTCCTGAGAAAGCGGCTCCCAGCTCTCCTAGCCTCTGTGGCTCTGATGGGCACCACACAGGCCCAGCTGGGAGCCCGGCCTGGCCTGCACGTAGGCAGTGTGCCCCTCCCCCCACCCCCCCAAGCCAGTAAATCGTCCCTGAATTAATCAAAGGCTTGCACTGGTCCAAACTCACCAGGGGCCTCCTCCAGCGGCCACTTTGTGTTCTAGTAGATTAATTGCAGCTGGGGGAGGGGAGGGAATCCATTTTTAGAAAATCATTACTTTCAGAAGGAGAGGGGGCCACTTCTGGTTGGAGAAAACTGCTGAGCTGGCAACCCGGGCCTGCTGCTGGAGCGCCAGGAAGCCCGGGGCCGTGCAGGCTGCTCCCCACTCAGCGGGCACAGGGGCGGCGGCGGCAGGGGCGCTCCCCGCTCCCCAGGCCAGAGCGCCCCAGTCCTCCTGCTCTGGCTACTGCCAGCCTCTACTTCCTGCTCTGGCCTGGGCTCAGTCGTTTGCTGGCGTTCTGAGAAGGAAGGTGTCACCCCAACATAGACCACCCCCCACTGCCCGTTGGCTTCGTTGACCACTCTCCGCTCGCTTACTTAACCACCCCCAGAGGACACTGTCGGCTCCTGCCCCCGCTGCAGGGGGAAAAGAAGGTTGGAGATTCCTAACGGCTGCCGCCTTGAATGGAGCGTCCAGTAGATTAAAGAATGTGACATTGCCGTCTTTGTAGGTCAAAATGGTCAGGTGTTGGCGATCCCGTCATTTAACCTCTCACATGGCCCGCTCTCCAGGTGTATTTTCCCACCAATCCCTCTCCTGGCCCCACGAGGCAGGTATAACGCCCATTTGATGTTTCAGAAATTGAGGTTCAGAGAGGTTAAGTGACTTGCTCAAGAGAGTACAGTACTCAAACCCTGGGCTATGTGATTGCAAAGCCCATGACAGTGTCTCATCTCCTATTTCATGTCAGATCCCCAAGCCCAGCTGCCCAACACTCATCAGTCACTCGCTGTGCTTCTAACCGGTGGCCCTGACAACACGGACTGACACAAACCTCCCGTGCCTGCTGGGGAGGGCGGGGGAGCGGGCTCGCTGGCCCCTCAGGAGCCTGCGTCTGCTGTGGGCTTGGGTGCAATTTCGGCCTCCCTTCAGGCTGGGTGTGGCTGTCCTGGGTAAGCCCCTCACCTCTTGGAGGATCCGGTTCTTCCTGCCTGCTTCCTGCTGCCGTGGGGCCACGGGCGGCATCACACCGGGCTGGCCCCTGGTGCCTACGAACGTGCACAAATGTCAGGCCTTGTTTCAACTGTTCAGCAATCAGACCAGCTTGAACTTTCCTAACCAGAACTTGTTTTAGGGAAAACATACACCCAACACAGTCAGCCCTTGACCCAGGCCTGAGCTAGAGATTAGATAACTACAGAGGTGATGAAATGTGATGCTATCAGCCAGAGGACCTCGGGCAACTCTTTCAACCTCAGTTTCTTTGGCTGTAGAATGGGACTGATGACGAGGGTGTTTGCTCCAGGGTGACTCTAAGGATTAAATGGGACAATCTCAATGCAAAGGGCTTGGAAGCCTGCCTGGCACACAGTCAGAAATCAGTGCTGGCCATTGTTGATACTATTCCCAGTCCAAGCTCAACTCACAATCCCGCCTCTTCCTCGTTCCTGGGACAAGCCCTGTCTGAGCACGGCACCAGGAACTGCTAGGGCAGCAGGTCCTCACTGGGGCCCCAGCTGAGACCCCCGCAGGGCCAAGAACTTAGGGCTCAGTAGGGGAGACAGAATTCTACACCATTAATACCTCTTTAGGACAGAAATTTTTAAAAGGGGGGAGTTTCCTGGAGAAAGTGTAGGCCAAGCTGCATCCTGAAGGATGAGACAGCCAATTCAAGAAGGAACCAGAGAGCGCTTGCTTGGAAGCACATGAGCAAGGTGCGTGCAGGAAACTGTAACGCGCCCTGCGTGCCTGGGACCAAGGGCCTGCATGTGCAGAGCAGGCGGGCGCAAAGGGTGAGGCCGGCAGAGGCAGGAGCTGAGCGGCCACTCGGAGTAGAGGAGGGCCAGAGAGATGCTAGGAGTCCCCGCGCTCAATCATTCTGGTGAGGATGGAGAGAGGGCGCATACACGTGAAAGATAATCAAATTTTACAGTTACGGATTGAACGAGGCAGGATTTGGTTTTACATTTTATGACAGGGGATGAGAACAAAGGAGATGGGAGAATCCAGGTTTCTTGTTGGGGCAGCTGAGACACCCCCAGGTGAGGCGAGATGAAGGCAGAGTGCTGCTGCTGTCCAGGGAGAGGGCAGAACCCTCTAAGACACCCCAAAATTTGAGGGGTGAACTGAGATAGGAAGGAGAAGCAGCCGGCAGGAAAACTTCCCTACAATAGGGCACCTTCTCCTCTCCCCTTAACTAACTCAAACGCCACTCGGGCTGGAAGTCTCCCTGCTCCGTGGGTCTCAGGTGGTCCCAGGAACACTCCACTTCTGCCTGCGTTTGTGGGAGACCCTCTTGGGTGTGAGCGCCTTGTCCTCTAGTGTCCCCGAGGGCAGGGCACCCCTGCAGCACAGTCATGGCACAAGGGAGGTGCTCAGCGGATGCCTGCGGGTGACGGCTGCTCCGCCCGGTGAGGAGGGTCAGCTCCCAGCAACACCTGGCGTCCCCTAAGACATCCCCTTTCCTTGCCCACCCAGCACCAGCATGCACGCGGCCTCACCCCAGTTCGGGCCTCTCAAGCCTGACTGTCACACCCGGTCACATAGGAAGACGTAAAGGAGCTGCTCCCCCAGTTCCTGCCTCCCAGGGGCCCTGCCCAAACGGTGGGGCCAGGTGGCAGCGTGGTGGCCCACGTTCTCCCATTTTGAGGAGTCATGGGACGTGTACCACACGGAATTCTATCAAATAAGCATCTCCACAGGGTGTGGGCCAGTCAGGCCCTGGCTCCCTAAACATTTCCTCCTGGGAGACCCTGGGCAAGTCTTTTAACCTCTCAAAGCCTCCGTGTTTGCAGAGGGTCCTAGTGAGAATGAAATAATCCCCTTCAATGCTTAGCATCATGCCTGGCACCTAGTAAAGCATTCAATAAATGGTAGCTATTATTATTAAAGAGCTTCCTGGCATGCTGATGCAAGTTAGAGCAAACTAAAAGGACTTTGACAGCTCCCTGAAATAACACCTCCCACTGCCCGCCCCCCGCCCCGCCACCACACGGGCGTTAATTAGAACCCTCCTTGGGTGTTTTCCAGAGATGGGGGTTTTACCCTTCTTCTGGGTTGCAGCACTAGAATAAATGGAGGTTGGGTTTCAGGTCAACTGAGAAAAAGCAAAATAGTCTTGTGATAGGTAGTGAGCTCCCCATCACCTCTAGTGAACAAGCTGACCCAGATAACCATCTGACCCTAATACTCTGGAGCATAAATCAACATGATTCATTTCTTACAACATTGTTGTATAGGAAGTCCCTCGAATGAAATGGTGGTGCCAGTAGGCTGTAGTGCTGTCACTATGTGGCAAAATTAAAAACTGTCCATTAAAAACTATTTTGGCCCTCCCAAAAAGGTTTTTTGAAATTGTACCAGTTTCTGATACGCGAAACCTTAACCCTCACTTCAGAGACTCCTCCCCGAATCCAAGGTTCAAGAGCCCTGACAGACACACCTATACAACTCCTGTTTGGTGCCCAATTGGGACCCATCTCTGTGCAAGAGTCTGAATCTAAAATGATGCTCAGCTCAAGCGTGGAAACCCCAGGGCAAGCACCAAGGCGGCACTTCACTAGCCAAGTGCCACCGCGCAGGGCTGGGTGAGGGGACTGGCGGACTGCGGCTGGAGCCCAAGCGGGTGGGGAAGGAGGCTGCAGAGCAGGACCTGGACGCAGTGCCCCTTCCGATCTTCGCCACTTCCTGCAGTGTCTGGTCCAGAACGTGGGAGGGTCCCAGGAGGTGGCCCACCACTCTAGCCATCACCTACACTCACCCTCCCCCTCGCCTTCCTTCCAAGGCTTCGGCTCTCGGGAAACCCGTCCTGGAATCCAGCGCAGCAGGGGCCTTCCTCTGGGAAAGCTGCCATGGGCTCAGGGCTTCCGCCAAGTGAGGAGGAGCTCACAAGCAGAAACAGATGGATCTGGGTTCTCGGGGTCGTGTATCCCCAACTACCTCCCAGCAAACGGCCCAAAATGAAATACCCTTACCGTCACTCTTTGAAGATTTGAAAAAAAAAATCATCCACTTTTGTAACTCAGGGATTCCTGGGGTTGACCTCCTTACAAATTCAGGACACCCGCCTGCTACACCCGTGGGACACCCCAGAACAGGAGGGATCGTTGTGTGGCTCGGGGTCTTTCTAGCATATAGGGGATTGATACTGGAAAGAGGAGGGTGTTCTGAATGTTCGTTTTGTGGTCCACCTCCCCGTCCTCCCAACCAAGCACAGGGCCGGGAGGCCCCAACTGTCCTGGATTCTGGCACCCTCCCCGCCCCCATCCCCCATCAGAAGAAAAAGGAGCTGGAGGACAACATGGAATCAAGTATACATTTTAAAAATTGTTTAATGGAACATAAACTCCTTTAGAAAAACATTCAGCCAGGTGATAACACCCATAGAAAAAAACACCAATCTTGTGTTTATCTTTTTTTAATTTGGCATTTGTTATTTGCATTTATATTAAAGCAAAGTGCATCTTCTCTTTATTTTTCTTGTTTATACACATTGCACAATACATAAATAATGATGCTTATAAAACGTCTTTATATTTACAAGTAATAATATATTTATATATAACATAAAATACATTTTTTCTTTAATAAATCTCAGGGTTTTTTTTTTTTCAGGAGTCCTTTCTCTCTCAAAAGCACTACAATGCTAAATTTCCAATGAGAATGCTTCTCTTGTTCATTTAAACCTTTGTAGTTAGAAAAATAGCTTATGTTAAAGTCTAAACATGCTCATTGAGCTAAGAGCAGTGTCAACATATCATACGAGTGTATGAGTTGTAGAAGAAACGAAAGAAGAGTAGGTGTCAGCCCAGGGTGGTACCTTGGGTTATGATGGACCGAATCCTTCTTGGTGGGAAGGGAAGGGGGGCTGCTCCCCTCGCTGGTCTAACAGCAGAGCTCAACACACAGGCTACAGAGGGGAGGAAAGTGCGGAGCTGGTTTTCTGAGTCCGGGTAAAACCTGATGTAACCAGGGCAGGGGAGAGGCGGAGGGGCCTGAGAGGGCGCTGGGTGAACAATACTGCGGCGGGGCTGCCCCGGCAGCCCTCAGGAAGCCCATCTCAGGGACATCCAGGAGCAGATGGCCAAAAAAAGAAAGACACGACAATGGCAGGGGGGTGAATGGGGGGACGTCAACAAGCTTGAAAACAACTGGTTCTGGTTCAGCCTCTTGCAGGGTTGTTTCTAAGAAGCCTAGGGATAGGCCTGGGTCCTAAAAGGGAAGAGGCAGGGCAGGGGCTTTCCCCAGGCTGGGGGCAGAGCCTTGCTCCAGCGGCTGCCAGGACACGGGTGGGTTTGCAGGCCTGCCCAGTTCTGCCTCTGCCCCACTGAGCATTTCCAAAGGGCAAGAGAGGCACAGCTGGGGAGCACACACCTCCCAGCCGGAGAGGTCAGTAAGAAGCACGCCGGGCATGCCGGTCACCCACCCGTGTACATGTACACACACTCACAGACACACACACACACACACTCGCTCACACATCCACCCTGACAAGTGAACCGATGGCCCCAAAGTCAGGGCCTGCTCCCCATTCATACACTGTTTGGTGGGACTGATCTTTGTTTCCCCTTTTTCATATGGGGGGTGTCCTTCCAACAATACGACACCCCACAAAAAAAGACCCCAACGATTCTTTTCATAAGCTATTTCTCAAAAAAACAAAAACAAAAACACAAAACAGAACATAAACAAGAAATGACAAGAAGAAGAAAAGAAAAAAAATAAAGGAACAATGACCAAAGAGTTTTGCATGAAAAGCAAGCACTCAGGAGGAAAATATTAGCAGCAAAGTAGTTTGGACTGGGCCCGCTCGGCTACGCTCTGTCCTCTCCCCACGCGGCTACCGGCTGTTGAAGATGACCTCCAGCCAGCACGGGCAGCTGCTGATAAACTGGCGGGTGTAGCACTGCCCCCAGCCCTTCACGAAGCTGATCTGCACAGTGAAGCCAGTCCACGGCTGCTGCATGAACTCGTGGTCGTTGGGCCGCTGCAGGCTGTACGCTTTCTCATAGTCAAAAGCCTTGATGGAGAAACCGGGGAACACTTTGTGTACCAACAGCGTCCTGGAGTCCGGGTTGTCCAGTGTGGCTGACTTGATGAAGATGGGGTAACTGCTGCGGTTGTACACCCACACGCCATCCACTTCCCGCGTGAGCTGGATGCCACAGCCGATTTTGCTCCGCACTTTCTGCACCAGCTGACTCTTGTTGTCCGAATTGAGCTGTCCGAGGCAAAAGCCATTCCCCTGAGGTAGATCATAGAAGATGTCCAGGGAGGGCTCCTGGACACAGTAGAGCCTCCCGACTCGCGTCTTCTCCTCCCAGTATGCCACCACGCACCAGTGTGACCGATCCCCAGGCTCCAGAAGAAGTTGGGAATCTACAAAACAAAATGGCGGACATGGTTGGCGGTGATGGGGATTGGTTTTCCTCCACCTCCTGGAATCAAGACGCACGCACCCACGGGCATCCATAGCCGACTGGGCTCTGTACAAGACAGGAGGAGGCCATGGCGGTGCTGGATATGCTGCAGGCTCTACAGTCCTCCTCCCGGGGCCTAGAAATCTTGACTCTCTGATAGAACAGCCCTGCCTTTAATTAAGCACAGGGCTCGCCGGGGGTCGGGGGTGGGTAGGAGGGGGTGGCCCCTTCCCACCACTTCCCCATCCCATTAGGGACCCAGGACACCAGTACCTGTGCTCATGTGGCCAAACGAGGCCTCCATCCCTGCAGAGCTGAGAAGCCAAGGGCCCCATTGTAACTTGGCCAGTCCTGGTTTTAAAGTTAGAAAAGGCCTTCGAGATGGCCCAGAAGTGACAGTTCTTTACATTGGACAGCACCTTGAAGGCCAGCTGCTATGGGCTCTGGTCATCCTGATGAGAAAAGTGGGCCCCAGGGAGCTTGTTGCTCAGACCCCACAGGATGACACTACCAGACCTGGGTAGGACTCAGGCCACCAAGTTCTCATATCAGGGCCTTGGTGATGCGCAAGTACTATGTGATAAAAATTTAAATGGAGGTAGATTTGAGGCGAAAAACCTCCCTCATAGAAAAACAGCCCTTAGTGCCTGTCAGCAGCAGCATGGTACACAAAGGGTGAATTCCCATCAAAATGCCAAATCACCCCCCCCACACACACACACCGCCCCCCCCCACACACACGCGCGCGCTCGGTTAAAACCCAGACTGCCTCCACGAAGCTTCCTCCAGCCCAGACAGAAGATTATGTGTCTAAACTGGGGACGGCCATCGTTAAAGTGCCCTTCTCTACTCACACAAAAGAATCTAGACTCCTGCCCTGCCCACCCTCCCTCCCTCCCTCCCTCCCTCCCCTGAAGGCCCCACCCCAACTGTCCTAGAAGTGGTCCTTCCCACAGGCAGCCTGGGAGACTGGCGTGGTTCTGGTAAGGTGATTTTCCTAAACAGGCGTGTGGAGATCTTTACAGGGGGACAGAGGGAAGGGAAGGGAGCCGGGCGGCTGGCATTCCGACTCCTCCTCAAGCCAGTGGGGCAGGCCTCAGACTGGGAACCATAAATCTCCCAGGCTGGGCTGGGCCAGGCTGCAGGAACGAACGCTGTGGTTTGTGGTGGCAGGGCGGAGACCGGAAGTCTTGTATTTGTTAACAAAAATGGGGAAAGGCAGGGGCCCCAGGAGGCAGGGGCCTCCTCCTGCCCTCCGTTCTCACTCTCTGGGGGGCTCAGGGAACGAAGACGGGGCTGGTTGGCTGTGAGATGTCTTTTGGTGTGCTTGGCCGTCTTGATTTTGGAGCTACCGGGCTTGCAGAACAGACGATGAGTGACACAGCACGGCAGCCCGGGGGGCGGGCGGGGGGGCGCGGAGGAGGGCTGGGGGCCCCGTGCCTGCTGCCCCAGCAGGCTGGGTAACCCAGTGCGGCTCAGCACACAGCTCCTCACAGGCATGTTAGGACCTGGGAACCAGTCAGCTCCATGAACTTTTTTTTTTTTTAAGTAGCAGCCAGTCTTGCACAGAGGTGTCCCATGAATAAGTGTGCAAATGTGCACTCTGACTTACTGAGGCAGTCACAAACGCACCCCAAGTGGCTGTCTCCTACTGACACCCCAGCTCTTCTTCTCAAATGCCTGCTCAGGCAGCTACACAACATGGGGAGCCGAGGGCTCATTCCTCCCCCTCAGGCTCCACCCCACTGAAAATCAACCCCTGAAAAGCCCCCCCCCACCCCGCCAGCCGAACACTCATGCGCCTACAAAGCACAAGTGTGAGAGAAACTGTGTGTCCTTCAGTGTGAGTGTGTGCGCGCGCACACTAGAACATATGGAAAAACAAGAGAGGGACGAGGGCTCCAAGCAGAAGGTGACTCATCAGGCATTAACTTGTTTCTGCAAAGTATCCATCAACTGCTAATAAACTCGTGAGCGCTGGCAATCTTTGAACTTTCTTGCCGAGGGAGTTCAGCTCTGAAGGCTACACCAAAGACCCACAACATCCACGTAAATAACAGCGCTCTGGCATGCAAGAGCGCTGGAGGAGCGATCCCTCTTCTGGAAGACACAGGGCGTCCCCGCCCGAAGAGGGGGGTGTTTGGGAATGTACGAAGCTCTCCCTTACCATCCCGATTCGGGACAACAGACCTGGACGGGAAAGGAAGACGCAGGGAGTCGCAGGGAGTCGTGGGAGGGAGGTTCAGGAGACCCTCAGCACGGCCCACAATACTTTGTTTCACGGGGCCCGGCCCCCCTGAAACCTGGCACCCACTAGCAGGGAGGAGGTGCAGGGTGGGGTGGGGGCCTGAGATTGAGTTGCCCTCGTGCCAGGCCCACGGGCAAGGGGTGGGGGCTGTGTCTGCCCCATGGGCCTCTGGGGGCAGAGGAAGCGGGGCGGGGGCTGGGCCCGAGGTTGGCTGGCCCAGGGCCCTGAGGGGGAAGAGGGGGAAAGGGGGGAGCTTTCTGGCGGGTTTCTCTTTCATCTGTACAGCCAGCCAGTCCACCCAGCAATTTGCTGCCAGACATCCCTGGAAAAAGCCTTTTTCTGTTGAGGTTAATGGCCCAGCCCAGATAAACGGCAGCGCGTGGGTGTCCCTGAGTGTGAACTAGGCCCCCGAAAGCCCACTAGGTGCCCCACTCAGGCACAACAGGACCCCCCATGTCACCCCACAGCCTTCTTCTCGCTGCCCCTGGACTATCTGAGCACAAAACAGGCCCTCCAGCAAAACCACTCCAACAGCTAAGGCCCCTTAAACATACCGCGCTTCTGGGGGCCCAGCACAGCTTTCCCTGTAGCCCATCAGAGATTCCCCTCCTTTGCCCCGAATGCCTTGGCACTTGGGCTCATTTCTGGGAAGCACTCAGCATCATCTTCAGAGAAACCCAGTTCCCTGAACTGGGCCCACAGCCCACAAGTGTCTCCCTGCGAAGGTCTGTGCTTGCTCTTGGGGGCTCCCCAGGCCTCACGGTGGGGACCTGGGAGGATCTCTCACACAGGAAGTCTCCCTGGCTAGTTGGTCGCCAGGACTAAGGAAGAGTCTCGGAGGCCAAACTTGGCTTCCCATCATGGTTGCCAACACGAAACTCCAAAGGCAAAACTCGCAGCCCCTCATTAATTTCCCTCGGCTTTATAACCTTTTCCGGTATTTTCAACAACTTCTTTCCCTTCTCAGAAAACTGTACAGGGGCTTGTTTTAAAACTGTATTTGCGCATTTTAAAGCATCAAAAAGAAAAGCTGTGTTGTAAAAAACTAACTAATCAGATGCCTGTTCACAATTTTTTTTCTTTTTATTATAGTTTAGGGAATGTTTGGAGCAACCCCAGAAAAATGCTGAATCGGCCTAAAATTCCTGTAAGGTTGCCCCCCCCTCCCCCCGCCATTTCCCTTAAAGCATAAAATCAACCCTTTAAAAGGAAGGGGGAGGTGGGCGTTGAGAAGGGGAAGGATTTCGCCTTGTGTTTGCACTTGCATTAGGGAAGACCACTTAACAAGGAGCTCCCTGCCTCTTACAAAGAGTTATTTAATTACCCTGGTCATGAATGAACAGACCAGACCCTTCTAGAAGGCTCATGAATGGAGCTCTCGCTGAGGTCTCAACGGCATGGGGTGACCAGACCTCAAGGCCAGGTTTTAGGTAAGGGAGAAATTTTCCCCCTTTTAAATTTTTGTATTTGAAGGTGTGAGAGATAAAGGAAAAACAGAGGAAGGAAAGACCAAGTTCAGTGCCTCCGTGGTACCATTTCTGGACTCCCACTTATGAAGTCCCACCGTGAGGCCATTGGGACCTGGTTGTGCCCACGCACAGAGATGGGGCGGATGGGGAGGGGTTCCCAGGATCCTGGCCTTCCCTTCAGGGCAGGGACACGTTGGGAACCAAAGCCAGCACGGGACAGAGCCACAGCATTCAATGTGCCCAACTGCTGGGGCACAAGGGGTAAAAGGTAGGCGAGTAGGGTTCTCAACTCTACCTCATCTGTGCAAGGCACTTGGATTATAAAGGGATATTTCTTTGCCAAAATCCAACGGTGGGATGGGACTGCAAGCCCCCTCCCCGGTGGTCCAGCAGAGCAGAAAAGAAGGTTGAAGGTGGAGAAGCCAGGGAGATGGGCGCCTGGGCAGACACAGCAGCCTCGCACGGACTGAGGAGGGCAAATGAAGGGCACAAAAGTATACCCAGAAGTTACACCCGGCAACCCTGGAAAGCAAACATGACCACACCTCGCCCACAGCCAAGTCCAGGGTCCTCCCTCCTCGGGACTCCGGCGCCACCAAGGGCTGCCTCATCCTGCCTTCCCCCTTCAGCAGACATCTCAAAGGTCACCAGCACCCGTCAGCCCTGCTCCCCACCCTGGTCAGGAAACCGGCCGTTCTGAGAGCCCCCAGCCCACTTCAGGGAGACGGCTCAGATGAAAGAGGACCCAGTGCCAATCTGCCTGATCTACTGTCATCCTAAATACTCACAATTATCAAGGATCCTTACTGGTCTCTCGTTTTCAAGAGGCAAATGACCAAAAACCAAAGCAAACACAGGGAAACTTGATGAGGTGTCTGGGCTCAGTTTGGGTTCTGGGTCGGTTCTAATCCGCCATGTTCCACCCTCATCAAGATCACGCCAGGGGGCCCTCCGATTCCTAAGGCACCACAGAGAACTCTGGGGTTTAGAGCAAGTTACCCACGGGGTCAGAACAAACTCAAAACGTTCCAGGTTAACTCTCAGACCCAACCACTCCTTCACGGTGCCAAGCTCTTTTGCCAAAAGGACCAGAGGATGAATTCTGACTGGTAGAAAGCACTGAGAGAGTTGAATTTTTCAGGGCTCTGTAACGAGGTTATCTCCATTGAGGTAGCGGGACTGGAGGAGGTGGGCACAGGGTGCCTAAGGGTCTCCTTCAAAGGCTGAGGTGCTTCCTCAGGT